AATCCCAGCTACTCGGGAGGCTGAGGCAGGAGGATCGCTTGAGCCCAGGAGTTTGAGGTTGCTGTGAGCTAGGATGACGCCACGGCACTCACTCTAGCCAGGGCAACAGAGTGAGACTCTGTCTCAAAAAGAAAAAAAAAGAAAGAATGAATGCACAGTACATTGAAAGTTTGAGAAGTTCCATTCTGGTGATTTTAATCTTGAAAATGAGCCATGTGAGTGATCTGAGACCAACGTGGATAATGATGAGCTGAAGGCTGTAGTGGAAGTGAATCCATCTCAATCTATGTGTGTATTATCAGCAAGGTTTGACGTTACTATTTCAACAGCATTGGACCATTTGAAACAAACAGGCAAGGTAAAGAAGCTGGATAGATGGGTACCACATGAATTAAACAAGTATCAGAAGAGAAATTGTCTGAAAGCTTGCCTTTCTTTGCTGCATGACATAAAAGCAAGCCATTTGTACACTGTATTGTTATGTGTGATGAAAAATGGATTCTTTTTGACAGTTACAAGTGTTTGGCACAATGGTTAGATAAAGATGAAGTGCCGAAACACAGTCCAAAATGGAATGTTCATCAAAAAAAGCTAATGGTGTCTTTTTGGTAGTCCAGTGCTGGTATTAATATTATCCACTACAGCTTCATGAAAGTTGGTCAGTTGATTACAGCAGATGTCTACTGTAACCGATTGAACAAAATGATGAGGATGCTTGAGATTAAGCAGCTGAGATTGGTCAATAGAGGCAGGCCAATCCTCTTGCAAGACCACATGTCACAAAAGACAATGTGCTCAAACTACAGAAGCTGGACTTGCAAATTTTCTGTCATCTGCCATATTCACCAGTCCTTGAATCAACTGACTCTCATTTCTTCCAGGCTTTGGATCACTTCTTGCAAGGAAAAATATTTAATTCTCAATAAGCTGTGGAAAATGCCTTTCACGATTTCATCGCCATTCGCTCTCCAGGCTTCTCTGCTGCTCACGTTAAGCAAGCTACCATTAAGATGGCAAAACTGCGTGGACAGTTTAGGCACATAACTTTGATTAACTGTACTGCTTCTTGTTTGAGATATAATCAACTATTCATTAGAAATCGGACATTTCATATTTAATGACCTAATAAATCAGTGGGCTGCAGTTATGTACAGCTTCAGCCTCACCTGGGCCCTGCAACACACTGCTCATTAGTCACACTTACTCCCACTGTTCACCGTGCACTTTCATTCTCCAACACCCCCCACTGTCTCTACCAAGAATTCTCCCTTCTCTCTTGCCACCTGATGACCTCCTTCTTCAAGATACAGCTCAAGCATCACCTCCTCCAAGAGCCTTTCCCTGACTCCTCACTTAAGTCAGTTCCTGTTTTGAACTCCCCAAACACTAAAGACTCTGAAGCACACGTTCCTCCTCCCTGCATTTGAAGATACTGTTTACAAGTCTCAGTCCCTCTTTAGACCAAGAGTTTCAACTGCCCCTGTCCTGTCTGTGTCACACTGCTTAGCACAGGGCCTGGAACACATGACTCAGTGACTCCGAAAGAACAAAATCAATGGTAGGTGCACCGAAAAAGTCTAGTTCATTAGTATTCCATATTTTCATTCTAGGAAGAGTGGGGAACACTTACCAGGCTCCCACAAACCAGAGTGAAAGCTACCATGACCAGATAGGAGTCCTGCCCTTCCCTAACACCTAAAGATTACTCACACACAGCAGGGCTCCAGCCCTGCCCCCTCTGCACTTCTCTAGCCTCAATTCCCAGTGTACTGGGCTGGGACAATTCCCCTGGAACATTAAAAGAGCTTCCTTGTGAGGCCCTGCCTGACAGGTGCCTTACAGCTGTGGGGTATGTTTTATCATCACCCTCACTGTAGAGTTGAAGAGACAATCTCTAAGAGGTTAAGACAGCTTCATTTTCTTTTGTTTTTTACTTTGTTTCCAAGAATATTTTTAGAACTCAGCTAAATGAGGCCAATTTCTACAGGACTACTCTAAAGAAAGTGGCTACCGGGAGGTTGAAAGACTCTCTGGGCAGGGAGTCACAGCTCACCTCTGCTCTTTGTAGTTGTGGTTTCTTTGGATATGTTTTTAGCTGTCTCTCTGCGCTTCTCCGAAGGCGAGGAATTCCACCTCTTCTGAGCTGAAAGAGGCACCAAGGGGATAGAGGGCAGCTTCTGGCGCCACTCAGGCCCAAGCGAGTCCATAAGAGCTCTGGTCATTCTGGAAAGGAAGGCAGGATTGCAGAGACCTTTCTAGCTGGGTCAAAAAGATATTCCTCCTTGCACACAGCCAAGGGAGGTAGGCCAGAGTTATCGTCTTCCCCCTGGTCCGAACCATCTCTTTACATCCTCCAACATGCTGCGGCACAGGAACAGGAGTCTGCCGCCCAAAACACCTTCTCAGCTCAGCCACTTGAGCTTGGTCATACTAAGTTACCTTTAAAGTGGTGATCTGGTGCTTAAGGTACTTAAACTTGCCCCCGCAAAACTACACATTCTCCAAGAAAGGATCTTATGTTCTAATTGTTTCAAATTTTCTCCGTGAATCTAGTACAAAGTCATGTAAGCACCTGACGTTTGTTTAATGATTAAGAGACTTTTTAAAAAATGCAAATCTTGTCACGTTGTTCTCAAATCTTACCACGCTTCAGGGGTTCCCACTTCCCTCGGCTAACATGGCCTGTGAGATCTAGTCTCCCTCCTCCTCTCGCCCTTTGTCCTGTCCCTCTTGATCCTTATGTTCAAGCCTTTGCACGTGCTTTTTCCTCTACCCAGAACAATCTCTTCCACTTTGGAAAAAGATTGCCACCTTCTAAGCCCAGCTAACTCCTTATTCTTTAGATCTCAGCTTAAAATGCTGCTCAGGGACCATGTCCATTTTGTTAACTGATCTCCAGCATCTAGCATATCCCCTGGCAACCACCAAGGCCCAATAAGTATATGCTGAATGAGTGAATAAAGCCAACTGTATACTTCTGCTCCTACAAGCATGCTCCTGTGTTAAAAGAATGCAAACCACACAGACAGATACCATCACAAATTCCCGGTCTCCGACTAGACTGTTTTCCTGGTAGGCCCAACTATTTCAAACCTCTACTCTCCTCAAACCTGTTCCCTAATCCTCCTCCTTTTTCAGAGCAAACAGCCTTATAACCTAAATACAAACCTACCTGCCTGGGCACCCAAACCTTCTTATTTCCCTCCTGTGGCAATAGAAGAGATGACAGGGCCAATCCTTCCACTTAACCTCTGGGTCCCATCTCCTCCTGCCTCTCTCAGGGACCATACCCAGGCAGCACCTCCCTCTCCTGCATCTTAGTCCTTTCTCTACTGACTCCAACTATCAGCATTTAAGTCCCTTTAACTCTTTCCTTACTTAATGAAACCTCCTGGACACCTCTCTGCTATTCCAGCTACACTCCCCTGCCTCTCTTCACAGCCTGGCTTCTTGAACTCACTGAACTGCTTCCATGAGAACCACCAGTGACTTCACTGCTAAACCCGTCATCCACTTACGCTCGCTGGAGCACATGACACTAATGACGTCTCCATCCGTCCTGAAATATGTCTTCCCATGGGACACTAAATACCCAAATCTCCTCCCACCTCTCCACCTGCTGTTACTCTGTAAGGCCCTCAAATGCTGGAGTTTCTCAAAGCTCTGTCCTGTTCCCGACACACCTGCTGTGGTGTTCTTTTTCTCCCCATAGCTTCAATCCACCTCTGTGCTGATGACCTTCAAATCTGCATGTCTGCCCTCTGTTTTTCTCCTCTGCTACAAACCCATGTGAATACCCAACTGCCTGCCTTTCATCTCTCGTCTCATGTCCCACAGTTACCTCTGACTCAACATGTCAACCACCTGGATATCTTCTTCTATTCCTCCCTTCTCACCATTCCGCAACCACAAAGCCTGTTGATATATTTCCTAAATGTCCCCTGAATTGGTCCCACTGTCCTCTCTCCACTACCTCCACCTCTCCCATGGATTGCTGCCTGCCCCCTTCCTATTCTACCCTCCATATTATCCCTCACCATGGCAGCCAACAAGTTTTTCTCTAAAATACAAATCTAAATTTGTTTCTCTACAACAAATTTGCTCACCTTGTTCCACTGATAGGACCTGTTCATAATGCCTCACTTGCTCAGGATTAAGTCCAAGCCCCAGAACACCGGGGCCTGTGTGACCCAGCCTCACCAACCCATCCCAAGCTGAGCTCCCCGCCTGCAGCACCATGTGAAATGGATTTCTTACAACTCCTGTGATCTGTCACACTTGCTCCCTTGCACCCACTGCCCTTCTCCTTGCCGGCCCCTCACCCCAGATTTCTATTTCTCTCTCAGTCTAAGCTCACCTCCTCTGAAAAGCTCTCTCTGGCCTCCCCCTCTTCCTCCCAGCTGGTGAGGTACCTCCTTTCTGCCCCTGGAGCTCCCTATGCTCCTCCTACTACAGCACTTATGACACTGTACTGTGCCTGCTTATTACCAACTGGTGTTTTCCAGAGACCAGGAGCTCCACAAGGGCAGGAAGAGGTATGTCTCAGTAATCAGCCCAGGGCTTAGTGTAAAGTCTTCCACATACTGGCAGATTTTGTTGAATAATAGAAATTAAAAGGAGGCAAAGAGAAAATAAAGGATGCTGGCAAACAAGTCAAGCCAGAAATGAAGCATTAAAAACATACCATAAAGTCCTGTTAAGGGTTTGCTATTAACAGTAGCGTGGTGTTTGGCTTTCTAGCAGCACATGCAAAGAGGTGACACATGATCAGTTATGCAAATGATGGCCCCCTTGATATAAAACCAAATAACTACCTGGAAACCAGACAGCAATTTCACCTGAGGTACTTCATGGAGGGGTCATGGTACAATATACTAAACCATGTTCACAAACAATATCCTTCCAGGCTTGTGTCTAGCTGCTTGGGCTGTGTCTTAGTCTCCCAATTACCGTTAGGTCTCTGAAGACAAGTGGGGTCTGTATCTCTTTGCATTTTGGTATCTCCCACTTAATCTGGCTCAATACCTTAGAGAGAGCTCAATAAACATTACTATGTGAATGAAATTCACACATCTAGGCAGAATCAATCAATCAATCTCAGTAATTCTGACTCCTTAAATACCTGCTAAATACAACAGCAGATTCTCCTCCCATGCTTTCCCTCACATGCTCATTAGGAGTTTTCTAAGTCTAGCCAAAGGGATCCCCCTAGAACTGCAGTCCCCAACCTCCCAGGCCGTGGACCAGTACTGCTCTGTGGCCTATTAGGAACCAGGCTGCACACCAGGAGGTGAGCGGTGGGTGAGCAAACAAAGCTTCATTTACAGCTGCTCCCCATCATCCGCACCACCACCGCCTGAGCTCCGCCTCCTCCCCCCCAGCTCCCACTGACGCCCATCAGTGGAAAAACTGTCTTCCATGAAATCAATTCCTGGTGCCAAAAAGGCTGGGGACTGCTGCCCTAGAAAACAACCAAAGCAATGGCCCAAAGCCAATTAAGGAGGCCAGGGAGTTTCCATGGAGACTGCCTGCAGTGAATTGGGCTCACCTGTTGATGCCTTCCAGGGCTGATGTCACATTATCATCAATCTGCAGCACAGTCTTGTAGTCAACATAGGCTAGGTGGTACTTCTCTAGAGCCTCATAGGCACATGCTCGCCGAAGCAGGGGCTTAATGCTGAAGGGAACCAAGGCCAGTGCTCTAGAACAGGAGGCAAAAACGTCATCTGGCTGTTGAGCCACCAGGATTTTGGCGTAGTTTCTTCCAGGTAGTCATCTATAGCCCTCAGTGTATACGAGGTAATTTCTGGCTGAGAGACACTGCTAAAAATGCCAAACCTCACAATAGGGACTTTCCAACTTATACTGAAATGAAGAGGGGAAAGGGAGCAGAGAACCACTAATATTGTGAAACTTATTTGCACAGGTATCAGCTTCCAGTTTCGATACCCCCAGAATCAAGAACAAGTGCCTCATGGTTTTCATGCTACTAAGTCTTTAGAGTTGTGGCCCAATGGGAATAACGAATAGGCTTTGGAGTCAGGTGGGGTGGTGTCTGAATTCTACCTCTACCACTAACCATGTGACCTAGGTAAATCACTTTTCTGCGCCCATCCTCAGCAACTCAGTTGTGGCCTGGGAAGCATGGTAAACTTACCCCACAGATTGGCCATGAGCACTCAAAGAAGGAAATCTAGCATGGGGCCTGGTACAAACTAATTTAGCACAGCCTCCACGAGTGTGCTCACATCCCTCCGCCTCTCCCATCTATCATCAAGGCACGCATCTAAAGCAATGTCAAATATCAGATCTGGGAACATATTTAGGGCATATGCTAGTTTAGCAATGATAAAGAGACAATGATAAAGAAGACAATGCTAGACTGACTTGAAGAAGAAAGAGGTATGAAACATTGTTCATTGTCCTCTACTACTGATTATTGATGAATATGGTTTTCTCCTTTCTCCTTGTAACCTCTATTCCTCCTTCTTTCCTTCCCTCCCTCCCTTCCCCTCACACACACCCGTCCCAGAAAAATACCTCGGTAAGCCAGTCACTGGTCTGCAACTCTACCTCATTCCCAGGTTCCAAATCTCACAAAGACTTTAAAATCCACCTCTAACTGCCCACCCAACTCTTTACTCAGCAGCAAAGCCAAGTCTCCAAAGACACAAGTCAGGGGCCACAAGGACCAAGTAGAGCCTCCCATTCTCAGTGACATTTTCTAATCCCTGTCACAGATGTAACTGGTAGGATCCTTCCAAACAACAAGCCAGATAAATCTAGCCTCCTCTTCTGAGACCCTCAGGCATCGCAAAGTTACCCTGGGCCACTTACGAAGTGCAATCTTTGATGCAGTCTCTGCAGTTTCCATCCTTCAAGTGGCATGCTGCTAGGTTGGAATAGAGAACGCTTTCCTCTCCCGGGTCTGAAGAACCTGCCCAGGTGGAGGCAGAAAGAGCAAGAAGATCATCAGGTTAGGAAATGGATGCCTCAGGACACTGGGAATCATTTTAAACCTGGAGCTCTCCGGGCTTTGGTGAAAGGCAGCAGAAATGACTGTAACCTGATCAGGCTTGTTGGCCTGCTCGGCTGGCATATTTGTCATGAGAATGAAGACAACAAGCTTTCTGTCCTTCATAGGGAACCACACATTTATCTCCTCATTCATTCATTCCAGCACTGAATTTAGTACCAGGCAAAAGATAAACATGAAATAGCTGGCTCCTGCCTCAACAAAATCCATGCTGTAACCACCTGGGTGTGTGTGCATGTGTGTGCATGTGTGTTAATTTTACTACAAAAAGCATGAAAACCCGATAAAGAACCTAAATAAAAAAACAATATGATAAATGGATTGACCAAGAGTTGTAGGGACATGAGAGACAGAGACTAGTTCTACCTGGTCAAGTCAGAGAGGACTTTGCCAGGGAAGTGGTAACTGAGCTGGCTCTGACAGGACTACGGAGAACTCAATCAGAGGAAGTACTCACGCTACCCAACAGGGAGAATTATTAGACATTTCTCTAAAGGCAGTCCTTACCCTCAGGAATCACAGACACCTAAGTCCTTCATTGTGGATCTTCATTATTAAAGATAATTTTCAACCATTTCATACCTACTAGCGTAGGCCATAATTTAAAAAAGGATTGAAAACAAATTCTTTGAAACATGTAGAAAACCACATCTCAGTATTCACCGTATGTTACTATATTTGTTTCCAACCTTTTTGATAATGGCTGAAGTTCCACTCGTCCCCATCCTTTTCTCTGTGCTCTCTTCCCAGACCCCCAGAGGCCAGCAAAATCCTGAAGCTGGTGTGTAACATGTTCAAGCATGTTTGTCTACCTTTATTATACGTATGTATTCACAGGTAAGATAAAGTATCATTTTAGGTCTATTAAAGCATTTCCTAAGTGGTACCACATTGCCTATCCTTCTGCAACTTGCTTTTTTCACTAAGTATGTCACCATGTTGATATCTGAACTCTTTCATTCAATACCAACAATAACAAGCTTTTTCTTCTCCCCTTATTTTGCCAGTCCCTCAGACAGAGAGTAGGGAGAAGTAAAATACATCCTTGCTCTAAAAAAGCAAGTACAAGTACTCAAAACCTGTAATCTATCTTAAGTCACAAGAGCACGGTTACTCAGAAACAGCAGTGGTGTGGTGGAAAGGGCATCAATCCAGCCTGCCAGCCTGCACAAGTCACTCAACTGCTCTGATGGTACATGCTCACCTACTGCATGAGGATATCACTTCACAGACTTGCTGGAAGGGTTCGTTGTGTTAGGTTGCTCCCTGTGCTCCTTTCAAGATCAAGAAAACTGATCAGCGAAATCAAGAGACTTGCCCACAAATTATCTAGAAAACTAGTAGCAGCTGCAGAACCGAACTCTGGTCTCTGCTAAATCTAGACACCAGGCCAGCTCTTATAAGGACCCAGAATAGACCCATACAAAAGCATAAGCTTCTCCAGGCCAGCTGGGGTGGGATGAAGGAAAAAGGCAGAAACATCAATACCTCAGATTCCTCAGCAACTTCATCAAGTGAGGTTGACATGAGGAGGTGGGCCTAAAGAGGAGTTTTCTAGAAAAGAAGATGGCGGCAAAAGAGTCGCTTAAAACTGCAAAAAGTTCAAACAAAGGAGAATGGAATTTGGAGAAGATCTGGGGAGAAGTCTAGCAAAATGATTAAAAATTTGGACTTATAATAGCAAATCTTGGCTCTGACATGTCTTCATTGTGTAACCCTGAGGTGGGCAATTTAACTCTTCTGGACTCATCTGTACGTGTCTTATCCACAGAGTTATAGTGAAGATAAAAAGAGAATGTCTAGAATGTCTAGCACACAGTAAAGCACTCAACAAATGCTAGCCAAGAACATGAAAAGGGGGAGGAAGGCAAAGGGAAATAGGTACTAACCAGTGACTTACAGAAAATGGGATCCAAGGCCCCTCTCCAAAGTCAAGGCTTTATCCAATGGGGGCTCCTGGATAAGACACTTTGGAGAAGAGGCTTAGGGCAAAGGCGTGTGGTTGGTTGAAGTAAGCTGGAGACTGGGAGAACTGATAAGAATATGCTGCTACTCTGTTTAAAACTCTCCAGTAGCTTCCTACCAGAGCATAAAACCCACACTCCTTGGCAGGGTTTAAAACACCTACACAGCAAGGGTCTGCCTACTGACCTCATGTCTTACAATTCCCTCCGCTAGCTCACTATGCCTTGACTTCTAGAATACACCATGCTTATTCTGTCTGGGGGGCTTTCTGATTGCAGTTCCCTCCACCTGGAATGCTCAGATGCAAAACTTCGTGCGCTTGGCTTCTCATCATTCAGACATTACCTCAAACATCACTTCTTTCTTCAGAGAAGTTGTCCTTGAGGTCCCACTCTAAAAGAGCTCTGCAGTCAACTCTGGCACATGGCTTATCTGTCTTCTTCATAGGCCTAATTACCCCACAGGTCTTGTTTACTTATTTACTAGCTTAGGATCCACCCACTCCCCTTTCGCCCAACCAGAGTGTGCGATCTTCCAGAGAAAGACCTTCTTTCTTGTTATACAGGCAGTATATAACAGGTGCTAAACAAATACTAATTTAATTGAAAATGAATAGCTAGGAGGAAGGAGGGTTGAGCTATATCCTCAGGATCAGAATGAGGCTTGAATAATTAAGGATGGACGCCAACAGGGCAGTTAAAAGTAGGTGTAAAGAAAGGGCCAAGGAAGTTTCCGGTAGGATGCTGAAGTCGGGAAGGGGCGGGAAGGGTGGTGGGAAGGCCTGGAGGCTCGGTCGGCCGCGAGGGTGGGAAGCGCAGGAAGGCAGGGACAGAGCGAGGCCTGGGTGGTGCTGGCGGGGGACTGGAGGAAGCGGGGCTGGGGGAGAAACGGGGGCGGGGTCGTACCTCGCGCCTGCAGCGCCCGCAGCGCGCGGCCGTAGAGCACGGAGGCCTCGGCGTACTGGCCGTTGCGGAAGCTCTCATTGCCGGCGGCGCGGAGCGCCTCCACAGACTCTGGGAATTTGGGGGCCATCCCAGGGCCGGGCCGGCGAGTGGAGGGCACCTCCGTTATCCGCCCGGAGTCGTGCGGCACAGCGTCCGCGCGGAAGCACCGGCAGCGAACCCTCGGAGGTGACCACTAACCTGACCGCGAGGGGGCGGGGCGGAGCGCGGCGGGGGCGGGGCCTGGCGGACGGGAGCCCCTAGGCGCCCGGCCCTCTGCGCGTGCTCAGTTTGGAACTTGCGCTCCCGCAGGGTAGGTTGGAGCTGCGCTGGGCGCCCTGGGGTGCTGGGGCGCTGTGGGGGTCGCCAGGAGGGAGGTCGGGGCCCTGCTCTCATAGAGCTTACGTTCTGGTGGGGCCTGACAGACGATTAGCTCCTGAGCAAATTTCATGTGATTAGTGCAGTACGGAAAACAAAGCATGGTAATGCAATGGAAACAGATTTAGCTCTAATAACCAAAACTGGAAAATGATTCCTGTTTTAAACCACTTGGCTTTGGGGGTAGTTTGTTACACAGTGATAGCTAACTGATACACCTAACTAACTTATAGCAATTTTTTGTGTCTTTACCATGGCCCATATTCAGTCAGGCTCTGGCTACATCTCCTACCTCATCTCCTGCTTTTTCTTATTCACTCTGCTGCAAACATGCACACTTCTTGCTGCTCTTCTAACACAAGTCTTTGCCCTCGCTGTTCCTTCTGTCTTAAATATTCTTTTTGCAAATATTAGCGTGACTTACAATCTCATTTCAGTTACTTTTCTGCTCAAAGGCTCAGAAAGGCTTTCCCCAACTACTTGATCTAAAGTTACTCCTTACTCTGCTGCATCTGTCTGTCACTTTCTATACCACATATTGATTTATTTTTCCTCATATCACTTTTAATACCAGAAATACGTATTTCTTTTTTGCCTATTGTCTATATTTCCCACTTGTGAATGTAAGATGCAGGAGGGAAGGAACTTTATTTTGCTCATTGCCTGGCACCTGGACTGTGCTTGGCCCTGAACAGACACTTGATATATATATATGTTGAATGAATGAATGTCCCAGCTTTCTCAGCAGCTTTCCTTATCTACTAGACTTGGTTTGGTTCTCATATTTTTCTATCATCATTTATCACTACTTTAATTATCTGTCTAATAATTATCTCTTCCACTACACAGTAAACTGGAGAAAGGTAAGACTCATATATGTCTTGAATATTGTTATATAGTCATCCCTGGTATCCCCTGGGTATTGGTTCCAGGACCTCTTCAGACACCAAAATCCAAGCATACTCACACAACTGCAGGACCCTTGGATACAAAAAGTCAGCCCTCTGTATACTGTGGTTTTGCATCCTGGAATACTGTATTTTCCATCTGAGTTTGGTTGCAGAAGTAAAACCTTCTGATACAGAGGGCTGACTATATTTATTGAAAACAATCTGTGTATAAGTGGATCTGTACAGTTCAAACCCATGTTGTTCAAGGGCCAGCTGTATACCCAGAGCCTAGCACAGTGCCAGGGACATGGAGCTCAGTAAGTGTTGAGTGAATGAAGCATGAAGATTCTGACTTACAGGAAAATAACTCTCCCAGTAACCCTGCTCATTGGGTCTCTCTTAAGCTAGTATCATACTATAATTGGCAGATAGTATACTCTATTTAAATTTAAATTTAATTGAGAATTCATTTTTTCAATCACACTAGCCACAATTAAAGTGCTCAACAGTCACACGTGGCTAGTAGCTACCATTTTGGATAGCACATATATAGAACATTTCCATCATCACAGAAATTTTTATTGGGCAGTGTTGGACTGAACACTGTGGAAAAAGAGGGCCATCATAAGGTCAGTCCATCTTCTGGAATAATCCTGGGAAAGGGGCAAACGAGAGATGTTTGTCATTGTGTAATGGTAAATTGATATTTATTTTTAAAAATGTTTATTTAATGCCTATTCATCTACAGGGATGAGTGTGGGCACAGTGGGAGCTTAGAGACAGAACTGCCCCTCAAGGAGCAAAAAATCCAGTTGGCAGCAGGGCCAGAACATAAGATAAAAAGTAGATTCAGAAGTAGCACGATTGAAAAAAAAAAGGGGGGGGGGAAAGTAGAGTCTAGAATGTGCATTGGGAGAAATACCGGAAAAGTGGTAGGAGATTTTGGAGGACAGAGGATTGACTTCTTACAGGAGGGCCCTGTGATGGCTTCCTGAGCTTTGTAGAAACCCTTCTTGATCTTTACTTTGAGGTTCCCACTGCCATCTGTAGAAAAATTTTTTTTTTTTTTGAGACAGAGTCTCACTCTGTTGCCTGGGCTAGAGTGCCATGGTGTCAGCCTAGCTCACAGCAACCTCAAACTCCTGGGCTCAAGGAATCCTACTGCCTCAGCCTCCCAAATAGCTGGGACTACAGGCATGTGCCACCATGCCTGACTAGTTTTTTTCCATATATTTTTAGTTGTCCAGCTAATTTCTATTTTTTTTTTTTTTGGTAGAGACAGGGTCTCGCTCTTGCTCAGGCTGGTCTCAAACTCCTGAGCTCAAACCATCCTCCCGCCTCGGCCTCCCCGAGTGCTAGGATTATAGGCATGAGCTACCGTGCCCAGCCTGTAGAAATTTCTAGTAAAGTGGCAAATAAAACGAGGATTTTGTGGGGTCGGGACAATCCTGGGTTAAAATCTTTGCTCTCACTAGCTGTGCACATGTGAATCTCAGCTTCCTTATGTGCAAACTGGGGACAATAATCCTTACTTCTGTCATCCTAAAAGGAAGAAGCTGGGCTGGGCGCGGTGGCTCACACCTGTAATCCTAGCTCTCTGGGAGGCCGAGGCGGGCGGATTGTTTGAGCTCAGGAGTTCGAAACCAGCCTGAGCAAGAGCCAGACCCCGTCTGTACTAAAAATAGAAAGAAATTAATTGGACAACTAAAAATATATAGAAAAAATTAGCCGGGCATGGTGGCGCATGCCTGTAATCCCAGCTACTCGGGAGGCTGAGGCAGGAGGATTGCTTGAGCCCAGGAGTTTGAGGTTGCTGTGAGCTAGGCTGACGCCACGGCACTCTAGCCTGGGCAACACAGTGAGACTCTGTCTCAAAAAAAAAAAAAAAAAAAAAGGAAGAAGCTGAGGCAAAATTAATGTAAGTGGAGGGTTTATTTGGGCCAAGCTTGAGGATTGCAACCTGGGAACATAGATTCAAGTTGTTCTGAATATATACTCTGATTAGCAGGTGTTACGAGTGGATTTTTAAAGGCAAAAAGGGGGGACAGGGAGTGTCCCTATACAAAGTTGTTTGTCAGGAATTTTCATTGGTTTACAGAAATAGCATTGATTAGTGAGTGGCTATACATTGTTAAGCTATAGGGTGTGGGTTATAGTGTTAATGGGTTAATTTACAGTTACTTGTGGCAATAGCAAGCAGTTTCAATAGATGAATGCACAGCTCCAGGGAAACAGAACATGATTGTTATCTTACTGTCCCTTTGGGACCAATAATTTAAAAAGACTCACATTCCTCTGATAAAAGTTCTTTTCTCACTTCATAGGGCTGTTTTGAGGATTAAGAGAAAGTCCAGGATTGCGCCTGGCACATAGTAACTTCTCAGGAAATGTTTTTCTCCTGTGTCAGGTGAATAACTCGGTTATCCAGTTTTGGGCTCATGGTGTGCCATACCTGAGTGGCCCTGAAGGGTGGTTGCTCAGGTGTTAAGTTGTGTAGATAGTGTATCTTTGGGAAAGTAGAATAATTAGAAACAGTGAAAGGTTGCTCCGGGTAAGATTTTTCCCTGTAACTTTCTCCACTGGTAAGTTGGGTGGAATCTGCCATTTTCCTAACACTCATTGATGGTGGTGTCATTCTGAATACCAATAGTTGGAACTGGAGCTCTGAGTTTAAAGAAAGGTCCGTCTCTTGCAAAGTAAAATAAAAATCTCAGGACCATGCTCCCCCCAAACTCCTTATACAAAAGGGAAGGTCAAGCCTGGAGGCTGAGTCCTGCAACACCCCCTTCCAAAAGAATGGCTGTTACTAACATTATGCATTAGCCAGACCATCGACAAGGACTGCCCCCACAGATCATTCATAAGGAAATTTTTTTTCTGGCCTCCCATAAACAAGTACATGATTCCACACTAGTAATGCGGATTACAAGTTTATCTTCCCAGGTGCAGAACAGACACAAGATCAATCACTCTTCCACCTACGCAGGGACATCTACACAATTGATTCTTCCTTTATTCCCTTTTTAAATATTCACCGTATCAAATGTAGATTTCCTGGGCCTCACAAGAACCATTTGCCTCACTACCGGCCCTCCCTCCTTCTTTTTCTTTTTCCCCTTTTTCCTTCTGTATGCCCTCTCCCCTTAAAAACTGAACTCCCAAATCCCACTTGGGAAAAAATAGTCACAGATGCTGTGGCTTGTGTTTTTCCTGGGCACATTCTCAAACTTTGGCTTAATAAACCTCCACTGACTGAGATATTTGCCTCAGTCACTTATTTTTGGTTGTCACTCCTGCCCAACGGGAGGGTACACATCCATAACTGTCCAGTATGGTGTTGTAGGCTCTGGACTCCCACCGACCTGGATTTAAGTTCCCAAACCTATACTCTTAGCTATGTGACCTGGAGGGTAGATAGATACTTCACCTCTCTGGCCTTCCGAAATGAGAATAATAGTAGCATTTACTGTATAGGGTTGTTAGGAATTTTAAATGAGTTAATATTAGTAAAGCACTGAGAACGTGGTAGGCATTGCTTATCAATAATATATAAAAATAACTTTACAGACTTGATGTGAGAATTAAATGAGATAAATGAAAACAAGTACTTCATGGCAAGTGCTTAATAAATGTTAACTATTTTAATGTCTGCAAACTGACTCTAAGGGGAGGCTGTTAGGAAAGACGGTGGGGCAGTTTGCACGTTGATAACGCCCAAGGAGGAAATGTTCAGGGGATCATTTGGGACCAGAGTTCAATTGTGAAGAACTTGCCTTATTAAGAATTGTCAGTTCTTATCAAGTCGGCGCTTCTCTACAAGACTCAGTATCTCCGTCTGAGAAACGAGGGCCAGAACCGAGGCAGAGCTAGGTTCCCAGCTTGGGGACCGAGTGTCGTGGACAAATAGCGTCGCAAGAAGACTAAGTCGCTGACGCTTTACAGCCGGAGGGAAAACTGCGCCCGCAGAAACCTCCTTCGCTGCGCTGTTCCGGGTCCACGCCCCGTCGCACCACGTGACCCATGCCTCGCGCTACGTGATCAAGACCGCAGCTCCGCCCAGCTCCCGCGCTTCGCGCCGCTTCCGGTAGGGGCGGAAAGCGGAAGTGTGGGAGGGCCTGCGGGGCGGGCTTTGGGAGGCCCAGGGGGAGGATGGAGCTGTGAGCGGGTCTGGGCGGCTGCTGGCAGCGCCATGGAGACCGTGCAGCTGAGGAACCCGCCGCGCCGGTAAGGGGCCACTGGCTAAGACGAAGGGCGTGGGGGCGGTGGGAGGGGAAGGCGGGAACCGGCTGAGGGGAGACACCTGCGCGTGAGCTCCTGCCGGGCGGGGAGCATCGGGACTAGGCGATCCAGCCGATGGGGCACCTGCTGAGTTGGGGCGGGGAGGCGTCTGGCGGGTGGGGGTCCGGCTGGGGCTGGTTAGGGGGAGCCTCGCTGTGGGGGGACTCTGCTGAGGGACATGGGGACATGTTAGGGAGAGTACCTGCTGAGGCCGGGGCCACTGGGGGAAGGCTATTCAAGAAGGGTCTCACGGAGGTTGGAGGAGTGCCGAAGTAGGATGAGAGCCTATGAGGGGTCTGTTTGAGGCAATGGATCTAGAACTAGAAAAGAGGAAGGCTGGGCGGACTTTCTAAGGGTCCTCAGTCCCACTTGAAGGGTGCAGTGGGAGGAAGATCTGTTGAGCGGAAAAGCTTTGCGCCTAAGGCGAGGAAAGGCTGAGGGGTCTAGCAAGGGAGGGGTTCGTGGAGGACAGCATTTGGGAGGATGCTCTTGGTGGTGTCCCCACTGTAGGATGATGATGGCATCTTTTATTACCGATGTCCAGAGTGTCTTCCTAATTGTTTCCACATCCTCCTCAGCCCTTTAAAGCCCAACATTGGGAGATAGGTAAGGAAATAAGAGGATGTTTTCAAGATGGGCAAACTGAGGTCCAGAAGAATTGAGACACACGTGTTTCTTTCTTTGCTCTGGGTCACTGGGCCTGGCCAGACCGTGCCCTTTTCAGGACTCTTGTTTTGTGAATATCAGCTCCAGATCCTAGTGGTAGGTGGAATTGTTTTAGATCAAGATCAGGGAGGTGGCTGATCCTAGAAATTCTGAACTCCTGGCTTGGTTGCAGTTGTATCGTTGATTTCCGCTGTGGACATCTGGGCCTTATGTCAATCTACCACATCTGGAGAAAAGGAGGGAGTAGAGACTGAGGCAGTCACGCTCCTCCAAGGTGCAGTGTAGTTAACTTCTTTTGCACAGACAACATCTGACTTCCTGAAGCAGAATGAACACTAAAGTAGGAAGTGTTCAGTGTGTGGGAGTGCGGGGCAACCAGAGGTGAAGGGCAGAGATTAACAGCCTGGGCAACACTCTTGGGGGTTGTTTGAGCTTGGGGATGTTCGAAGTGCACAAATATTGCAGAAGGCAAATAGCTGGTTGGAATGGGCTTAAGATTCACCGTAGTGTGGTGTGCTGAGACTGTAATAGTAATGATTGTTACGCTCGTGTAGCACTTACTGGGTGCCAGGCACTGTTTGAAGTGCTTTCCATGTCCCCTGTTGAACCATCTGAAATTGCTGATATTTGACAATTTTTGACCTATAAAACAGTAATTTCATATGGTTCAACTTACTGTTGACTCATTTGATGCTCACAACAATCCTATGAGATGGATATCCCTACATCCATATTTTACAGATGATGAAACAGGCATAGAGAGGATAGTGATTTGCTGGAGGTCCTACAGCTGGTAAGAGACAGAGCTGGGATTTTCATATCCAGGCAATCTGGTCCAAAGTCCATGCTCTTCATTGTCTCTGATGCCTCTCTAGAAGTACCCCTGTTTCACAGGTCTTTGTGTATGTTAGCAGATATTTGCTGTGGCACCATAGTGATCTAATTATAAATGCACTCTGGTTATGTTTCTTTTTGAAATACATTTGTCCGTTCTTGGTTTTTTTCTCTGAGGTCTTAGTTTAGTTGAAAAGAGGATTAGGAACCTGAGTTTTGTTTCTCCCTTTGCCTGTGTTGTGTAACCTCAGGCAAAGGAGTAAACCTTGACATGTTCATTCTTGTACCTTTTGGATTTTAAAAAATGTATTAAAAATGCAAGAAAAGAGCATTGCAGGACTTAGTTCTTGAGTGACTACTGACTGCTGTCCTACTCTTTGTAACTAGTGGACTACCTAATTTGCAGCAGTTTAATTTTATTATCATTTGTATTATTTTGTTAGGACTGCCATAACAAAATATCATGGTGGTTTAAACACCAGAAATTTATTTTCTCGTAGTTTTGGGGGTTAGAGGTCTGAAATCAAAGTGTCGGCGAGGTTTTCTCTTTTGAGGCCTCTCTCCTTGGCTTATAAGTCACTGTCTTCTTCCTGTGTCTTCATGTTCTTCCCTCTGAACCTGTCTGTGTCCTAATCTCTCCTTCTTGTAAGTACACTAGTCATATTGGATAAGGGTTCACCTGAGTGACTTTATTTTACTGTAATTACTTCTTTAAAGGCCCTGTCTCCAAATACAGTCACATTCTGTGGCACTGGGAGTTAGGACTTAAACACATGCGTTGGGGTCGGGTGGCAGAAACAATGTTACTATCATTAAAAATATTTCATCAATTTATCTTATATATTTGTCATAACTCATCAAATTCTGTGTAGAAAGAGGAATTGTCATACAAAGATAAAATGAACTTTACAGAAGTTCTGTGATGAGAAAAAGAGGTTTGAGAATTAGCTCAACCTGTGAGTGAGTACTTCAGAAATACCATTATTTGTGTTAGGAAAGATACGGGTGTCTTTCTAGCGAATCAGATCGCATGGGTTTCCAACAGCCCCAGTGCAGGAAATGCTCTTTGTGTTCATGAGTTTGACATTTGCATGTGACTAAGTGAATGATGATAGATTGATGTCTTACGTAGGAGTTAATGATTTTAAAAGTGAGCTGTCATTAGATAATGATGTGGTGGAAGGTGTAGAGTGCAGTCCTGGGATGCTGGTCGTATGTGTGGCCGTCTGACTTAGGAGTAGAGCATCCACCAGTATTTGATGGAGGCTGTGTCGTCCAGGCCTGTTCGTTTATGAGCAAGTGCTGAAACTGCCTAGGACCTGGGGAAGTCCCAGGTGGAAGAGCTGCTTTATCAAAGTCAGGCTGTTTTGGTAACAGTGTTTATTCTGTCAAGAGTCATGGTATAAAATATCATTATGAGTCACTTACTAAAAGATTTTTTCATAAAAATCTTAATTGTTGATAACCCAGTAATACTTTTTAGGTGAAATTCTGTTTTATTTTGATAACCCAACAAAGATTGCTGATGAAGTTTATGATTCCCATCATTACATTTGCTAATACTTAGCAAATATTTTTTGATCGCCTCTTGGTTATCAGACACCAGAGATATAAAGACCCATTAAGTTCAAGTTGTTTTAAATAACCTCAGATCAAAAACAAACAAAAAACCACTTAGATTGTTTTAAAGAAGTATATGAGCAGTCATATAAAGTTTGTCTGTCAAAGTATTATCAGAGGCTTGCAGCTGTCTCATGGCAGTGGCAGTTTCCTTTGTTGTGCCGTGGTCTCTGTAGTAGTTGAAATAGTGAATTTTGCTTTTTGTAAACCACCAAGAGTCAACACTTCAAAGAAACACATTTGATCTTCCTTTATGTAAGCTGTTTATAAAACTTTAATTACACTTGAGAAATGAGGTATTGTTCATTGTTTATACAGCTATAATTCAGGGCCTTACAAAAGAACTATGGCATGTGAGATGTTCATTCTAACTTCTGAGTTCATAGAAATTTCATTTCTAAAGTTTAAGAGGAGTTTCACTTCATCCTTTTTTGTTTTGAAGGTGGGAGTTTTTATGATGTCATTGGAATTTAATTTTTAGGACCTTTTGATTTTTCAAAGGTCACTGTAGTCATTTTGTTTTGTTGATAGTCGAGTTAAGGCAGTTATTGACTTGGAATAGTTCTCCATTTCTCTAGTAAGTACATAATCCTTGATATTTATAAACTTCTGTAAAATTATCCTTTCGAGATCAGAGTTTATTGGTAAATACACACTTGATGTAGTCAGGGTTTTTTTGTCTTCTGATATTGCTGTTTTCTTTAGGAAGGTATACCTTTGTGTGTGTGTGTGTGTGTGTGTGTATGTGTATTTTGAGTCACGTCTTTTCTTACAATAATTGATATTGTGTAGCTAGTTTAAATCTTTTTCTTTATAAAGAAATCCCCAGTGTGACTACTTCCATATTTCACCATTTCCTGAGCTCTCTATTCTTCGTTGCCCTTTGTAGTTTCAGGAAGCCATTATGTAGATGATGCACACATACACACATACACACACACAAATATTCCTTACCAAGCTCCTTCTTTAAGCTCATTAATAATTTCCAGAAGTTCCAGAGTTTTAAAAAATGTTGTTAATTTGTAACCTCCTGTGTTTGTTATGATTGTCTAACATAGAGAAATCTGAACTCTCTGGAAGTTGTGAGCAGCCATGTACCTTTGATTTTGGGGACTAGTCAAAGGTACATGGCTGCTTGTGGGAGGATCTTTGTGAGACTATTTGAAACTCCCAGCTGCCTAGTTATTTTTCACTTTTGATCATGTCTACATGTACGCTTTCCACTTTCTGTTTCTGTGATACCTATAGAATTTATGTGTTTTGACAAAATTAACCAAAACCTTGCTAATGGGAGAGCAAAGGTCTCCTATGTCTTCCTTGGCCTCCAGTCCAGTTCATAGTTATGTTTCAATTCATAGTTAACCTTATATTAAACATCTTTTCTGAAGAGATAGTTATGTCATTTTAATTTGTGGACTCTCAAGATTTAAATGGATTTTAGGGCCTAGGTGTGGTGGCTCATACCTGTAATACCAGCACTTTGCAGTCAAATGCCCTACCCTGACCTATACCCTCAATACCAGCACTTTGGAAGGCTTAGGCGGAAGGATCACTTGAGGCCAGAAGTTCAAGAAGCAGCCTAGGCAACATATCAAGACCCTGATTTTAAAAAGAAAAGAAGAAAAATTAGCCAGGTGTGGTGGTTTACCCCTGTAGTCCTAGCTACCTGGGAAGCTGAGGCAGGAGGATCACTTGAGCCCAAAGGTTCAAGGTTACAGTGAGCTATGATTGGGCCACTGCACTCCAGCTTAGGTGACAGAGTGAGACCCTGTCTCTTAAAACAAACAAACAAACAAACAAAAAAACCAGTGGATTATAAAGGACGTATGTCTTGGTTGAATCCACTCTGCAGCATTTCAGCCACATGACAATTCATTTTCCATTTAAATTTTCCAGCAGTGAGGAACTAGGGACCTCTTAAGGCAATCTAAACCATTGTAGGACAAGTTTTATTGTTAGAAAATTCTTACCCGTGTTGAACTGAAGTCTGACTCTTGGCATCTCTCCACCTTCTGGTCCTGATTTTGCTTATCAGGGTGACCCAGAACAAGTGTAATCCTTCCGTAGAACAGTACTTCAGTGTCCCTTAAAAGTATCTTAGTTTGCCTTTGCTGTTGTTTACTAGTAAAGACTTTGTAGAGAAATTCTGAGGATGCTAATCGTAAAAATAAATGATGTATTTTATGTTCCAGTTACTAGCAAGTAAAATGTATTTCGTGTTTATATTTCTTCATTCACAGGCAGCTGAAAAAGTTGGATGAAGATAGTTTAACCAAACAACCAGAAGAAGTGTTTGATGTCTTAGAGAAACTTGGAGAAGGGTAAGCATAAAGAAAATAAAGGTCTCAGTCTTTTTCCTGTGCCAGCACCAGAAGCATGTGAACCTTTCTCATGGCAGTAATTCCCAAACCTGAGAAGAAAGAGGAATGTCGCTTATCAGCCTGGCTCCCGATGTGGTGGGAGGTAAATTTACATTTTGAAATGCTGTCCCCCACTTCACCCTAGTCACTATTTTAGACAGATTTAGTGATTCCTGATCTTCCTAACACGAAGGACATCTGTTGTTTTCTCTTTTGTAGAATCTGTGATTTGCATGATTTTATCTTTTTAAAAGACAGCACTAATTAGATTATAATTCATTAAAATTTTTAAAATTTGCTGCTCATAACTTCTGATTGGTATGATATAACTTGTGTTTCAATAAAAAACAATGGAATTCAGCATTGTAGTTTTTGCAGCTTTGTGAAATACTGTAAATAAATCAAGGACTGTCACCACCTTTACAGCTTCCTAGGAGATCCAGAATCCCAGGTTGGGAGCCAGTCAACTTCTTAAAACACAGAATTGTGAATGAGTTTATAAAATACTGATGAAATGACGTTTAGTAATAGGCCGTGCCTCTTATTGACTTTTGTGATACAATAAAGTTTACATCATAATTTTTTATACGTTTACATATCCTTTTAATTTAATCCTGTGATTTATTCCTTCTGTAAAGACCAGGACATTAGAGTATTAGGGACACACTTAAGTTTTTGTTGTTAATTTTTGAATAGGTAATAAAATCATATGACTTCAAATTCAAAAGCTATAAAAATGTGTATGATAAAAAGATCTGCCCTCTACCTCTGTCTCTCAGTCACCCAGAAGCAACCATCTAGCAGCTTCTTGTGTATCTCCAGAGACAGGTTATGCATATACAAGCAGATATACATGTGTTTGTGTGTGTATTTTTAATCTCTTAGGGGTACTTTTGGATGGAGAGAAGACCTGGCATATTATAAAACTTTTAGAAACATTTACTGTCTCATGACTGCTCTTTAAAACTCATCTCTTAAAAAAAAAAAACAAAAAAAACAAACTCATCTCTTATATATCATTAGATTATTTTTTGGGTTTAGTGTTTTTTATGCCTAACATAGATCCACAATAATGTCAGACCCAATCCTGATTACATAGAATAGTTTTTCGTAGTTTACCTCCATGTAAAAAACATTAGTCGTCGTCTTTTTGTAAGTTGGAAAAATACTCTTTGGAATCCAGCAAGAGATCAAGCAGAGAAGGAAAGCAAAAAATGACACCAACTGTGCTACCAAAAGACAAGTCCAAGATGAATCTGAAGACTGCCAGTTGACCGGCATCATTAAAGGTATGGGTAAATGACAGTCCCTCTATATCTCTTGCTGGCCATTTTCAGCTTGACATCCTTGCTATTTTCCTCAAGGCAGTGAGTCCATGGCCCTTAATCTAACAATGCTCATAGGTTGTACTCAGAATAAGAAAAAGACTAGTAGGCGTAATTGACTGTGTAACTAACTTGTTTCTTTCATTTCTAAGAAAAGCATGTTATAGTAGTGGGAACACAGACTTTATAGATAACAGTGGTTCACTCCTGTAATCCAGCACTTTGGGAGGCTGAGGTGGTAGAATCGCTCGAGGCCCGGAATTTAAGACCAGCCTGAGCAACATAGCGAGACCTTGTCTCCACAAAAAATTAAAAAAAAAAAATTAGCCAGGCATGGTGGCACACGCCTATAGTCCCAGCTACTCAGGAGGCTGAGGCAGGAGGATGGCTTGAGCCCAAGAGTTTGAGGTTGCTGTGAGCTATGATGATGCCACTGTACTCCAGCCTGGGCAACAGAGAGAGACCCTGTCTGAAAATAAAATTCCTTGCTTTCCTGTTTATTGGTCATAATAAAGAAGTGAGCTTGAACAAATTGCTTAATATTTTGGAGGCTCACAATCCTCATCTATAAAGTGGGAAGAATAATAGTGTCTACTTCATAGAGTCGTGGCAAGTATTACAACATGAGATAATAGGGGTAGAGTGCTAATAAGTACAATGCTTGTCACATAGTAAGTGCTCAGCAAGTGGCAACTATTATTTCATTTTTAAGTATATCAACTGAAGCATTTTTCAGACTTTAGCATGTCGAAACAAAGTTAAATCTTAAGTCTTAAAGTATATTTAGGTGTTCTTACAGGTAGCTCTGTTTGGGTTGATTTGGTTTGGGGATTGTTAAAAATATAGACAGAATATATCAGGAATATAATGTAAGGAAAAACTAAGCTAATTATGATTTTTTGAATTATGTTTTAGATGTATGGATGTCTTCAGCAAACAACATGGAAATTTCCCTATAAAGATATCACCAGGGAGAAAACAAATAAAGCTTCAGATCTTTCTTCCCATGCTGTCACCATGGTGCTCTTTTAAATGATACCACAGATGCTTGGATTTCTGTCATCTTGACTGAATGAAACTGAACAAACTTCATTTAACTAGGAAAATCCTGAAGGAAGACCTTAGCTGAACTTCTTTCCAAACACATTCTGCTATGTCATCCTTATATTGTTCTGGAGGATGAATGGATTGTGAATTCTCACTGACTGTGTGTTGTGAAATGAGCTATGGCTCACAGACTGTATTGGATGCTGCAGTTCTGTGTTTCGAGGAAATCGTGTGGATCTGTGGCAGGGTAGAGCCAAAGCTCCAGACCAAGCTGAGTGGAGAGCACTTGGAAAGTGTTTTGATTTGGAGCCTAGCACCTTTTTCTATTACACTTAAAAGTTTTACACATTGACTCATTTAAGTTTTTGTCACAGAATGATAACAAAAGCATTCTGCCCATGGTTTCATAGCTAGTGAGTGCTGTTGTTAAGACTTATACCTGGTTAGTTTGGCCTCAGATACTGTGTTATTAGCATTTTTCTACACTGAGCCTTGCCTTGTATGAAACACCTACTTCTCCATCCTCTTTGCTCTCCACCAGTTGTAATTCATTGAGTCATTTCATTTTTGTCATAAGGATTCAGGTTTTAAGGGACTTGCCTTTGAGGGCGTGATTACTAAAATCTTCTAAGTCCTCTCAGATTACTGTAAATGTGGTGTGTGGAATCATGAATCTTAATTGTTCATATGAGCTGTCAGAGTTTTCTTTGCAATCAAGAGAGCATAGAGTGTTCTGGTCAAGACTGCTGAGTGAGTGCATGCATGCAGAGACTTCTCCTTTCCATTTCTGATACATGAGAATAATGAATGAAAATCAGTTTTTAAAAAATATAAGAATATATAGCTATAGACAAGGGATAGAAAAGAAAAATCTATGCTAATAAGAGGAGGGTAAAATGTACACTATCCTTGTCAGGAAAATGCATTTGGGTTTCCTACATGGAGTTGTGGGCTGGGACTAGGCTCCCCATTTATGAACTAAACTGAAATAAATTTGCCTGACCATCACTACAGAGTATCATTTGCCTGCGGTTGTGAAAAAGTGGAGGTACTGGTCTGATGATAGGAACTGAGCCCAGACTGTATTCAAGTATGGTATCTTGAAGGGCAAAAACCCAATCTCCCAGTATAAGACCTGGTTAAGTTGTACAGTCCATGTGACCGGGCTGAGGGAACCATGAAACCATCTGACAGTGACTGTAGAAGAACTTCATTTAAGGTAAAAGGAAATCCATGCAAGGAAATCCACCACCATGAGGTGGTCAGCAGAATGAGAGAATTCACACTCAAGGAAATAGAAATAATGGAGCAATCTGAAAAGGGATTGAATATGTTTATGATTTTCAAAGAGATAAAAGGAGGGAATAAAATTCTTAAAAGAAGAGTACCAGATTATTAACATGAACAGTTAGCCCAGTAGAAAATAAAAAGTTGGGAATCTCGACAATGAAAATTACAATAATTGAAGTTTTACAATACAAGCCCAATAAATTGGATAAACAGCAACATAGACAAACTGAAAAGAGAGTTTGTGAATTGAAAGAAATGAGACTGATCACAAAACGCAGAACAAAGAAATACAGTGTTGGAAACCAAGAAGAAAACATGGATTCAGGAGGTCCAATATACATCTACTAGGAATTCCAGAAGAAGATAATTAGGATAGAGAAAGAAGAAATAAAGAGATAATGCTGAGAATTTTGCATACTTGAAGAACTATTTGAGCCCTCAGATTGAAGAAGTTGATGAAGTGCCAAATAAATCAACTCCAAGTTATGCTAACATTGTAGAATGTTAAGGATAAAGAGGAAATCTTAAATGTATGGGGAGGTTACCTATGCAAAATGATAATCTCATGAAAGCAGACTTCTCAGCAACAGTAGATACTGGAGAACTGCAGTGAAAGTGCTGAGGCACAGCTATTGTCAGAGACTTCTATATTCAGCAAAACTGTCATTCCAGAGGAAGGGTGAAATAAAGACATTTTCAGACCTGTGGGACCTGGTGTGTCCGGAATGCCTTTGGATGGAAGTAGTAATACCCAACTAACAGTGATTAACCAATAAAGGCATTAATAGCTAAATAAATCTGGGGATAAGAGATTATAGGAATGGTTAATTGGCTTGATAGGGTGGTTTGGCATCTGGTTAATTCTGTTTCAAGGTGGCTACATTGGTTTCAAGCATCATCCCTCACATTATAGTAACCAAGGCAGGAAGGGAAGTAGCCTTCTTGTGTGCCGGTCTCTTACCAGGGAAGAAAAGCTTTTCCAGAAATCCTTCAGCAGAATTCCCCTCAGATTTAATTGGCCAGAACTGGGTCATATGCTTGCTACTATTTCCATCACTGGTAGAAGGGAGTAGGAGTCCTAAGACTGGCTTGGACTAATATGATGTATCCTCTGGGACCAAGCACATCACCACCCTAACAAATCGGGGTTATTTTAGCAAGGAAGAAGGGACAGTGTTTGGGTCATCCACGCAGGGTCAACAGTTGCCTTTTTTCTGGCAAAAACATTTAATGCCATATTTAAGGATCATACTAGTTTTACAAATGTAAGAGTTTCTGATAGAATGGAAATTTTTTATGTGTTCCGCATAGACTTAAAAAAAGTTTTATGTTTAAAACGATTCTTGAGCATATATTTGGCAGCTAGAGTGTCCTACTATTTTGACATATTAGGTGGCACTGTTATTGTAATTTTTTTCCACCAAGACACTATGAAGATACAGGTGTGTTTTAAAAATATTAAAGACAGTTTACTCAGTATTATGTCATTGACAGCTGCCCAGGATTTTAATGATAATGTAATCTGTGTAAGGTGATGATATCTCATGTGACCAAAACAACTATCTTGTAAGGTAGTTTGTGTTATTGTCATTTTACAGTTGAGAAAATTGATGCACAACAAAGTTATAACATGTCTATAAGTGATAGCTAATAATGTAGCGGTGGTAGGACTCAAATTGTAGGTCTTTACCTTCCAAATCTGTGCTCCTATAGCCCCCAGATTGAATGAATACATAAACTTTATTTCATATTAAGCTCTTAAGGCAAAATGGAGTAGAAGGCAAAAAGAATTTCTATGTGCTATGTTCACCTGATACTAGCATTAAATGTTTAGTTTTTAATTAGTTTCCATAATATTTTAAGCATTATTGCAAGTAAGAGGAACAAGGACAGAAAGATCTTGTGGTACTAGAGTGAATGCAAGAAAACAAAGACCTTCACTTCCTTATTGTACTCCAGTGTATGTGTGGAGAGAACACAAGCTTTGTTTTCAGAAAAACATCTAGGTTCAGTCCTGGACTGACCACTTATCACTTATGTGGCCTTGGGCAAATTATGTAACCTCTCTGAACCTCTTTATATGTACCTGTAAAATAGGGATAATTGCCTCTTCCTCATTTTTTTGTGAGAATGAATTGAGATGGTGCATGGTTTCTACTAGACAGCAGGCATACAATGCATGGTAGCTACTGTGTTATTATGTCGTAATAATACATTCATTAAAGTTTAAATGCGAAGCTTTTAAGATGCCATTTTGTGGTGGTTCTCTTGACAGTTTTTCCCCCCCAAAGGACTTAGTTTTGCAAGTGTAGCTATATACTTACAGTATTAATATTATATTACCTAATATATCATTAGGCACCTAGGGATATAAATTAGAACAGTGAGTTGCTTGTGTTTTGCCCCTTCTTATCTCTTGGCTTGCTTTGACTTTATAAATGTTCTCCTTCCTCCAATTACAGCTCCTATGGCAGTGTATACAAAGCTATCCATAAAGAGACTGGTCAGATTGTTGCTATTAAGCAAGTTCCTGTGGAATCAGACCTGCAGGAGATAATTAAAGAAATCTCTATAATGCAGCAATGTGACAGGTAAAGTCATGTGGGCTTCCTTTGGAGACAATGTGGTTTTGAATTTGCTGTGATTATTTAGAGTTTGACACCTAGAGATGCATTTACTTAGATATTTTGCAGAAGGAAGAGTTTAATGGAATCATTATGCATATTCTTTTTGGAAAAAAATATGAAAAAGTTTGTATGTTTTTGTAGCTAAACTTTTATAGTTTCTATTTCTGCATATTTGTTTCTTTTTCTTTTTTTTCAGTAAGCCCTTTTAGAAACTAGGAAGAAGAGACAGAAGGTGGTGCTTGCTTTTTTTTTTCTTTGATAATGATCTCTTTTATTTCCTATTGAGAAAACATCTTGGCAGAAATAGCTAAGGAGAGAAAATTCACATGCTTTTTATCTCTAGAAACCTTAGGGTATTAGATAGGTCTATAGAAAGAGAATATTTATTTATGTATTATTATTTTTTCCTTCACATTAAAAAAATTATTCAAGCTAAGAGTAGTTAAGTATTTTATTTTTGAGGAACTAAGATTTGTCAAATGCTGTGAGCAGGAAGTCAGGCCAAAAGGCAACCGCAGAAAAGCACGTGGTTTGCTCTGAAATTCTGTGACAACATGGGCTGGTCACAGTGATACAGCAGGCTTCCCCAGCACTATTTAGATTGAAGAGAAATGCAAAGTTAGGGGCAATACCAGCTCTAGGTAGTTGGAAAGGGGGTGAAAAATTCTTGCAGTTGAGGCTGCATTTTTGGTGAGCAGATCAACTTAGTGCCTACTGTGTTTAAGACTTCAACATTGGGGTAGGTGGGGCAACCTAGCAGAAAATTTGTCCAGGAGCCCTTAAGTCTCATAGACTTGTAAATGCAGCCATTTCTCTTCTCTCTCCCTCTCTGCCTCCCCTTTTTTTCTTTCTACTTTTATGGTTACTATCTACTAGATAAAACTCCCATTTCTCTTGATTGGGATTGATCAGGTTAAGGTGACAGTTCCTCTATAAGATATATTACAGAAGTTCTTTCCAGCTGGCAAATTGGGACGTAGTCGTTTTTGACAGACTACGCAGGAGCTCTGTCCAAACAGGGTATGGAAATGTCTCTAAGCAAAGAGATATTTTGAAGAGCCTACTCTGTGCTAAACACTCTAAGAAGTACAGCTAAATACAGTTCTTATGCATTGGGAGTTTATGGACTAACTGGACAGGCTAGGCATATATAGGTACAGAAAAATCTAGGGGACAATGCAAGACTACATGGAACATATTCCAACGTTAAATACACAGTAGTTATTGCCTGTAATATTTAACTCCTGTAAATACTGTACTACAGGATTTTAGGGAAGGGAGAGCAAATGTAGTGATCTTTACCTTAGAGATTTAGTCATCCATTTCTCCACTAATTTTCATTTCATGTGTGTGTTTTTTCTTCCCTTGTCTTTGGCATTTTTCCCAAGAAAGAAGGGGTGTTTGCAATTCTGAGAGTTAATGAAGATGATTTTGTTTTATTAGTGTCTTCAGTTATTAATGTGACTTTATTTGGCCCTGATAACTATCTAGCCAGATAAAGCTGGTAGCTCTTTAAGGGAAGGCAGATTATTTCATTTTAATGGAATGTTTTATTTTTTTTCTGAAATTTCATGTTTGGTATCTCTCCTCAAGCTTGAGACCTAAAATTCCAGGTCTGATCCTGCCCATTTTTTCTTCATAATAGATTATAGTATGTGTGTTTTCTACAAACTACATATAACTTCTTAGAAAAATGCAAATGAAAAGAAAAAAATCGCTTTTCCCTTTGGAGAAATCATCATTGTTAAATACTGCTTGATATACATATTCTTCTTTATCTCTTTTTGGAGTTTTACTGTGCTTACTATTTTGTAGCCTGCCCCACCCCCCTTTTTTTTGGTAAACAAGATATCTTCTCATGTTATCAAATATACCTTTATAACATTTTCTGTGGGTTCAGGATATTCCATTATATGGCTATATCTTTATTTCTTGAATAAACTTCCTAATGTTGGATGGACATTTAGATGGTATCTAAATTTTGACTTTTATCAACAGTACTATGATGGCAACTGTTTCTTTTTGAACATTTATAATTCTTTTCTGAGGATAAATTGTAGACTTAGAAACGCAGGTTAAAGGACCCACCTATTTTTTACACTTTTTTTTATTCATTACCCTCCAGAAAAGCTATACCATTGTACATTCTTATCAGGAGGTTGCCCATTTTTACCTTAATAATCAATAATTGATCTTTTGAGATGAGGAATTAATTTTCATATATTTAATAGCATGAATAGAGATGTTTTAAGGCTGTTTCTACTAATTTATATTGCCTCTCTCTCTCTAGCCCACATGTAGTCAAATATTATGGCAGTTATTTTAAGAACACAGACTTGTGGATCGTTATGGAGTACTGTGGGGCTGGTTCTGTGTCTGATATCATTCGATTACGAAATAAAACGGTAAGTTTACCTTCTTGAATAATGCAGCTGAGCTATTCTCTTATGCCATCTTCTTTTCTCTGGCCTCTTAATCTTGTGCATTTTCCTAGTACCGTATGTACAGAGATGACTGGCAGATTTCCTCTGCCGGGGTTCAGACCTCATGATTCTTTTGCCTCTAAAGAGGGCTAGATTATGTTGGGTATTATAGGCCATGGGAATGAGTTTGGATTTTATTCCAAGGATAATAGGAAACCATTGCTGGGTTGTAAGCAAGTGTATGAACCATCTGATGAATGTTTTAAAGAGGAAACTCTGGCTTCTGTGTAGATTGTGGGTGGATAAGAGTAGAAGCAGGGGAAATCTAAGCTCTTAGACTTTTTGTCTTAGTAAGAAAAATAAGAATAATGATACCCACATTAAGTATATGAAAAGTGGTGAAAATCAATTTAATAGGTAAATGTACTCTGTAAATTGTGAGGTGTTATACAAAACATAAGGTAGGGGTGTTTTAAAACTCAGTTATAACTTTGGATTATCCATATACGATCTCCTTTTCTTAATTTACATTATTCAGAGTTAGTGTGTTTGCCTAATCAAACAAGAAGTTCTTTAGCTAGGAATAATATCCTAACATAAGATATATTTAAAGAAGTCCCAAAAATTGAATAATTTTTTAAATTAAAAATTGGGCTCTAGGGCTTCTTATTAGTATATGCAGCATTAAGCTATTTTGTTTCAGGTATTCTAAAACAAAATCAGTTTTGATGCCACTCTTAGTATCTTTTGAAATCTTAATGTTATATTTATATAATTTTTAACTATTAAGTGCTGATTTTTTTATTATACATTATTTTGCCTAATATTATAAATCTGTGCTGTCTAGCACGATAGCCACTTGCCACAGTGGTTATTGAGTACTTGAAATGTGGCCAGTCTGAATTGAGATATGCTGTTAGTGTAAAGTACACACAAGAGTTTGAAGAATTATTATACCAAAAAATGTAAAAATATCTTTCATGTTGATCACATGGTAGAATGATATTTTTGGATAAATATGGTCAAGTAAAATATATTACCAACATTATACTTGTTTCCTTTTTTATTTCTTTTTTCGGAGACAGGGTCTTTCTAGGTTGCCCAGGCTGGCCTCAAAGTCCTGGGCTCAAACGATCCTCCTGCCTCAGCCTCCCAAGTAGCTGGAGTGCTACCGGCTCTTGTTTCTTTTTAAAACATTGCTACTAGGAAATTAAAAATTACATTTGTAGCTCCCATTATGTTTCCATTGGGCAGTGCTGCTTGAACTGATTAGCTCAGTTCATTAGAGTAAGGAATCAGTAAGTCAAGTCATGAGCTTTGTTCTCTTTGTCCACAAGAAGGTACCCCAAACTCTAACCTGCCACCTTGCCAGTAATGTTTGCCTGGACTTTAGTGAAAGCTTTATAATTTATTAGCTCTGCTCCCTTTGGCACAAATTACTTGTCTGTGTCTCAGCTTCATTATCTATAAAATGATGTTGATAATAGTTCCTCTACCTCATTTAGTTGTTATAAGGATTAAATGAGATTTCCATAAATAGTGCTTAGCATAGATAAAACACTTAGTAATGATTAGCTGTTTTTAATATTGTTAACATAGTGCCTGGCTCATAATAGGTGCTTATTAAATATTTGTTGATTGATTGTGTAGTAGGTATTAAACCATGATGTCTTATATCATTTGATTTTCATAACACTCTTAAAGAAAAACTATATTCCTGTTTTTTGATTGAGAAACTAAGACTAGGTTGAATAACTTGTTTAAGTCACATGAAAGTAGAGTCAAGGGTAAAAGCTAGGTCTTTCTAATGCTAAATCTTATACTTTTTGTGCCACATCACACTCCTTTCTAAATGTGAGTTGTTTGTCATAAGGGGAACCGTGTGAGAGTCTTTTGATAGATGCACAGAGTCAGCATTGGACAGATCAGATATTCTGTGCTAGTCTCCAGCATCCTTGCTTTCATTTATTCATTATCATTCAACAATTTTTTTTTTTTAGCACCTGCCATGTGCCAGGTGGCTTTATTGGTGTTAGGGATACAAAAGTAAATAAAGACATTTTTAATGGAGCTTATTTTTCTAACAGGGAAGGTATGACATAAATAGGTATACAAATAATGCGTAGTGTGGCAGGTGGTGATATGCCGCAGTGACAAATAAGGTGAGATAAGGGAATAGAGAATGATCTAAGAATGGAGCAGAGAAGGCCACTCTGATTTTCGGAGGAGGTGACATTTGGGCAGAGACAGAAGTAAGAAAGCAAATCATACAGACACGTGGATGAAGAGCATTGTCTGCGTAGAGAACAGGCAGGTGAAAAGAGCCATGGAGGGAAGTGTGCTTGAGGTGTACAGAAACAGCAAGGAAGCCCGTGTAGCTGAAACAGAATGAGCAAGGTAGACAGTATAGAAGATGAAGTTAGAGATGTAGCTGGGAGTCAGGTCACGTAAGACCTTGGTGAGGACTAGCTTTTATTTTAAGTGGCTTAGGAAGACATTGGTAGGTTTTAGCAGATCTGGCTTACATTTTAAAAGGTTCATTGTGGTTGCTGTGTGGAAAATACATTGTAGAGAGTCAAGGGTGGGAGCAGTGAAACCAGTTGGGAGGTTATTAGAATAGTTCAGGCAGGATATGATGGCAACTTGGACCAGGGTGATTACAGAGGACAGGGTAATACAGATATATTAATATATCTTGAAGATAGAGAAGAGTCAAGTATCACCTTAAGGTTTTTGGCCAGAGCAACTGAAGAAGTACAGTTGCCTTTTGCTGAGAGAAGGAGGACTGTGAGAAGAGTGGAGGTTGTTGGATGGGTGGGAGGGAGAGGGGTAGGATGGCAGAAATAAAGAATTTGATTTTGACATGTTATGCTTGTGATGCTTGTTAGGTATTCAGCTGGAGATGTTGTGTAGGCAAATACATGGATCTGACTGGGGAGAGAACTGGTCTGGAAATATAACTTGTAGGGAGTGGTCAGCATGTCGATGGTGTAAGCAGTCAGATGCTATTCACAGGTTGAGTAAGATCTGCTTATATTCAAGAAAGGAGTTTGGATCTAATGTTTTTTTTGTTTTTATTTTCCTTTTTCTAATGTGCTTATGTAAACTGATAGAATTTGAACTTCTTGTTCTTTCAGTTAACAGAAGATGAAATAGCTACAATATTACAATCAACTCTTAAGGGACTGGAATATCTTCATTTTATGAGAAAAATACACCGAGATATCAAGGCAGGAAATATTTTGCTAAATACAGAAGGACATGCAAAACTTGCAGATTTTGGGGTAGCAGGTCAACTTACAGTAAGTAAAAATGTTACTTGTATTGATAACTTTCAGTTCTGTCCTGAGAAGCGATTCCTTTTACTCACCTATTTTTTTAAATATAAAACTTGGATAGTAAAAAATTGTAGAATCTACCAGTAGGTTACAGAAGAGCCAGTAGGTTATTTTAGAGCCTTACCTGGGGTTTAGGTCACATAGTTTAACTTTGCTTAACTTTTATAATAAAAGATGAAAACTAAAACAAGAAATGATAGAGTGAGTACTCTATTGGATTACATTCACGTATTTATTAAAAGAAGAAAAATTTCCTAGAATAGGACAGAACATCATCTCATTCAACTCCAGGTAGTACCTGACAGTTACTGTACTGGAAACACTCTCATTTGGTTCCAGGATACAGTCTTTTGATTCTCCTCCTCCCTCACTAGTACATGGCAGTGAAAAAAGAAAAAAAAACAACCTATGTTTTCAAAATAGGAAGTCTAGAATTATCTGATTTTATGAAATATATAAGATATGTGTGAAAGCATATATAGAAAAATGGAAACAGTTCTCTACAGGTATACACTAAAAATTGCAACAATATTATATATCAAGTGGTTTTCTTGGATGGTAAAATTAATATATATAGTTTGTTTAGAACTGGTATTATGTAAAATTTTTATTTTTTATTTTAAATGTGCCTAGGGTATGTTAGGGAATGTCACATATATTGCAACAGCACAGAAATTGCTTTGATGTTAGAAAAAAATATCAGAAGCTTATGCAGTATTATGATTTCTGGGCTCTGCAAAACATTTTGCTGTTAACACAAAAGTAAGCAGTACCAATGTTATCTAAACTACAATCTTATTAAGGAAACCACATTGAAAACTACATCCTCTGGTGCCATCATGCACGGCTAATTTTTTAAAAAAATATTTTGTAGAGATGGAGTCTTGCTGTGTTGTTCAGGCTGGTCTTGAACCCCTGACCTCAAGTGAT